TTTTTTTTTTTTTTTTTTTTTTTTACAAAAAAAATTACTAACAAACTTCCAAGTTCTTCAAATAGAATTGAAGAAGCTCCTAGACATTCCAGAGAGTTCCTCGCTTCCTCCATAAATCCATTCTCCAGTTCTCTACTGCAATCACTCCCACCCGATTTTCTCTATTATGGCGTTATTTGGTGATCCATTCAGACGATTCTTCTTCAACCCTCCAATCTATCGCACAGGATCAGTAACAACAGGTCTCATGGATTGGTTCGAAACTCCACAAGCTCACTTCATCAAAATCAACGTCCCAGGTAACTCTTCCTCTCAATCTCACACTTTACATCACCCACAAACAACTATTCTATCCCAATCATTCCTCCAATTTGTTACATCAAGAGAAGCTGTATCAAATTCATCATAAATTCGAGTCCAATACAATCAATTCCAACCGGCCAAAACAGGTATTACGAAGAATAACTTCAAGAAATGAAAATGAGATTATAATTCATCAATTTTTTCGCAGGATATAGCAAGGAGGACGTGAAGGTGCAGGTGGAAGAAGGGAATGTGTTGGTGGTGAGAGGCGAAGGTGGAAAAGAAAAGGAAAAGGAAATGGAAAAGGGGACTGTTTGGCATGTGGCTGAGAGAGGAGGAGGAGTCGAGGGTGTTGGGTTTTCGAGGGAAATCGAGTTGCCGGAGGATGTGAAAGTTGACCAGATCAAAGCTCAGGTGGAAAATGGTGTTTTGACGGTGGTTTTGCCGAAAGATCTCAGCCCCAAGGCCTCCAAAGTTCGTAACATTCATGTCTCCAGCAAGCTTTAGTCATGAGTACGTGAGGTGCTTACGAAACTTAATGTAGAAACCTTTAGAGATGTATTTTGTTCTTATGACAGATAGTAATTACATTATATGTATAATCCACAATAAAAAGGTTCGATACCCATTGTGTTACAACATTGTTTATAATGCTGTAAATAGGATGTTTTATCGATGTACGCGATATGTTGAGGTTTGTTTGCATTTTATTTGAGTCAGAATTATGGCTGAGATTCTACATGTTTGATTTGTTCCTTTCGATCCTCACATTATGGATATATTGTCTAGAGGAATGTCTTCTACGCCTTCATATTATCTACGGTCGAAGAGGAATGGCTGAGATTCTACATGTTTGATTTGTATGATTTGTTCCTTTAAACACCCATTTTTACACCGACTAATTGTTGGGTTAATCGGTTCGGTAGTCATCGGTTATATGCATGATTGGAACTTTAGTTTTAATGAGTATTTATGAATTTATATCTTATGTTTTAATTAGTAGTTTATTATTTAGAATTTAGCTTCTAGTTTGACTGAAGTATATGGAGTTGTATTGGTCATTAGCTTGTACCGAGTCTTGAGGTAGAACAAGGAGCATGGCTTCTTTCATGGGTCACGTGGGTATCTAAGAGACTAAGATGGCTATATATAGCCTTTAGTGCTATGAATAACATAGAGTATCTTTGGTCTTTTCTTTTCAGATGCTGCACATTTAATTTATAGGATTAGAAAAAGCTTTCTTCTCGTCTTCATACATTTCGTGAGTGATAACAGTAACAAAAGGAGCTTGTTACTTTGGTCTTAAATCCTACATTTGATATCAGAGGGGAGGGGCTGAAATCAGTAGGTTGTTTTCTGTTCTAGGGTTCAAAAGGGTAGTGGAGACGAGTCGTGATGCCGGCCAAAATCAGCAGGCTTGTTAACCGAGTTTGATCGAAGAACAACACGAAAGGATCAAGAGCAACAGAACGTGCTGTTAATCAAAGGGTGTAAAAACAGCAGGTGAAAGGCAACAAAAGGTGTTTGCAGGTAGCTCTTTCAAGCAGTGGTTTTTAGTTGATTATATAACCTTGGTAGTGCAGAAAATTGCAAGAATGGCTCCACCAAAGGATCAAATAGCGGCTATTGTCAAGGAGAGCAACACCATGTCTCTTCAATGTCCGGTGTTGTCATCAACAAATTATACAGTATGGGCTATGAGGATGCAGGTTATCTTCAATGTTCATGGGGTGAGGGAGGCAATCGATTCGGGAGTTAATGGGGATGCCAAGAAGAATAACATAGCAATTGCACTTTTGTTTCAAGCCATACCCGAGGAGCAGACATTGTTAATATGAAATCTCGTAACTGCAAAGGAGATGTGGGAGGTTCTCAAAACCCGTCATTTGGGTGCGGATCGAATCCGGGAGGAGGAACTTCAAACTCTAATGGGAGAGTTTGAAAATCTGAAGATGAAGGACCAAGAGGTGATTGACAACTTTGCTAATAAGTTGTCCGATTATAATTCTCGAGTCGCCTCACTTGGATCGGCTATGGAAGAAACAAAATTGGTTAAGAAATTTCTTAATGGGTTACCAAAACGTTTTATTCATATGGTGGCTTATATAGAACAAGTTGTAGACTTGAAGACCATCGGTTATGATGATGTGGTGGGCCGACTTAAAGCTTATGAAGAAAGGATCAAAGTTGGGGAGATCCAACCCGAGCAAAATCAGCTTTTGCTTGCAAATTCTGATGAAAAAGCAAAAGAAAAAGAGTATAGGTGTGAGCATTATGGTTGTGGAAACTCAAATCGTGAAGACTATGGGCGTGGCCGATGTGGAGGTCGGGGTTTCAAGAAAGGTCGAGGAGATGGTCGAGTACAACGGTACAAGAGTCACGTAAAGTGCTACAAGTGTAATGAATTTGGGCATTACATTTCGGAGTGTCCTATGTGGGAGAAGCAAAAAGCAAATCTAATTGAAGAGGAGTCCGCACTATTGTGATTGAGTGGTATGACACTCCGAAATGTAATGCCCGAATTCATTACACTTGTAGCACTTTACGTGACTCTTGTACCGTTGTACTCGACCATCTCCTCGACCTTTCCCGGAACCCCGACCTCCACCTCGGCCACGCCCATAGTCTTCACGATTCGAGTTTCCACAACCACAATGCTCACACCTATACTCTTTTTCTTTTGCTTTTTCATCAGAATTTGCAAGCAAAAGCTGATTTTTCTCGGGTTGGATCTCCTCAACTTTGATCCTTTCTGCATAAGCTTTAAGTCGGCCCACCACATCATCATAACCGATGATATTCAAGTCTACAACATGTTCTATAGAAGCCACCATATGAATAAAACATTCTGATAACCCATTAAGAAATTTCTTAACCAATTTTGTTTCTTCCATAACCGATCCAAGTGAGGCGGCTCGAGAAGCATACTCGAACAACTTATTATCAAAGTTGTCAATCACCTCTTGGTCTTTCATCTTCAGATTTTCAAACTCTCCCATTAGAGTTTGAAGTCTCGCCTCCCAGATTCGATCCACACCCAAATGATGGGTTTTGAGAACATCCCACATCTCCTTTGCAGTTACGAGATTTCTTATTAACAATGTCTGCTCCTCGGGTATGCCTTCAAACAAAAGTGCAATTTCTATGTTATTCTTCTTGGAATCCACATTAACTTCCGGATCGATTGCCTCCCACACCCCATGAACATTGAAGATAGCCCGCATCCTCATAGCCCATACTATGTAATTTGTTGATGACAACATCGGACATTGAAGAGACATGGTGTTGCTCTCCTTGACAATGTTGCTATTTGATCCTTTGGTGGAGCCATTCTTGCGATTTTTTGCACTACGAAGGTTATACAATCAACTAAAAACCACTGCTTGAAAGAGCTACCTACAAACACCTTTTGTTGCCTTTCACCTGCTGTTTTTACACCCTTTGATTAACAACACCTTCTGGTTGCTCTTGATCCTCCTGTGCTGTTCTTCGATCAAATTGGGTTAACAAGGCTACTGATTTTGGCCGGAATCACGACTCGTCTCCGCTACCCATTTGATCCCTAGAACAGAAAACAACCTACTGATTTCAGCTCCTCTTCAATCGATCTCCTCTATGATACCAAATGTAGGTTTAGAAAGTCTCAAATATCACACTCAAAACTCTCGTATATAATGAAAGTATTGAACTTGCAGAAGAGAATAAAGACTTTCTAATCTGAAGTGTAAAAGAGATGTACTTTAAAAATTACAGGAAGAAATCTTACCTTTACTCATATTAAAGAAAGCCTATATATAGGCTTACATGTATACACCACATGAAAAAAAAACACAAATGCAATTAAAATACTATTCTAATCATAAAGACTAGGTAAAGATGAATGACTTCTTCTTATACTCAACGTGCTCTGACTCCAACTTACACATCATGAAGCAGTCAAACCCCTCTATCCACTTTTCTTTATTCACCCTTTAAATAAAATAAACCAAAATAAACTATTAACTAAAAAACCATAAACTTATTAAACTAGCAGCCATGCATGTGAACCTGTGAATTAAACCTGATTAACCCCAACACATCATGAATTAAACATGATTAATCCCAACACTAATTAAGACCAACCTTAATAGATTCCATAGGAAGAAATCATCAACCGATCGCATTAGCTAATGCGATCTATCGTTTGGCGACCACCATTGATCAAATGATGTTGATGATCGAGAATTTCTTCTCAACTATACCACATATGTATCCCTAATGCCTTGATTTCGAGTTTTTTAAAAAATAAAATAGAAGGAAAGAAAGAAAGGGAAAGGAAAGGAAATGCATTTCCTTCCCCTCTATTTCGCTCCTAATCATTCTACAACTTATTCCTGAATTCGAACTTAATGGATGAAAATGAGAAAAGTAAAAAAAAAAAAAAAAATTGTGATCATGAGTCTCATTGACGAAGGGAAATGGAAAGATGGAAGGAAAAATTTTCATCCTAACATTCCTTCAAATGTAAAAGGATTCGAAGATAAATGAATATAATTTTTAATTTTTTTTTATTTACACAAATTATAACTTTCTTTCACTTTCCTTTTTTTTCTTTTCTATCCAATTCTTCTATTTCTTTATATTTCTTTTCTTTAATGAAACTTGAGAACACATTTTATTTCATTTCCTTTATTTCCCCTCTTTATAAAAAAACTCAAGAATACTTTTTTCCTGTTATTTCCTTCTCTTTACTTCTTTAAAAGAACTTAAGAACGCCAATTTCCTCCCATTTCCTCTATCTTTCATTCCTTAAAAAAACATGAAAATAGGAGTGTAAGTGATTTTTTTGTCTTCAATTTGTTGCATAATCATATCTATATGATTTAACTATTGATCAACTCCCTTTTTAAAAATAACCAAATCTATTGTGACTTTCAAGTTTCTCAATAGCTTTTCAAATAATCTTATCTTGGTTATAAAACAAGATATAGACATACCACACACATCAAGGTGAGTCATGTTGCAGTTTTACACATCACAATACTAACTAGTCATTTATATAAAGTAGCATCTACTTCTATTTTTCCTTAGTTGGAATTGTTGGAAATTTAGTGGGTAAATTAAAATTTCATAAGTTTCCAAGTATTCTACATGGGTGTGAGGAAAAAGTATTAGTGGGTATTTATTAATTCTCTTTCCTTAAGTCTTCAAAGGTTTTAGTGTATCTTTGAAAGCTGGGCTAAACCCACAGTTAGTTAGCCCAATCGCTCCTACTCGGGTCCTGGATGCGAATGTTGTCTTGTATTTTGGTCGACCCTCATCATATTTGGCTTATTGGCAACCCTCTAGGGTTTCTGCAACTATAAATAGAGTTCCCATGGAGTCGTATTCTTTACCCCCAGTCATCTGATCAATCTCTTATCTCCTCTCTTTCTTTGGGTTTTGCAACTGCAAAATTGCGGGTTTTCTGGTTTTTGATTAATTGTTTTGTGTTTATCACTTCTTCCATAGTTGTTGGAGTAAAATCTATTATGCATTAAATCATGGGTTTTATGTTGAAGCTTACGTCCTTAGAACAACCTAAAAGACCTTTAACGATAGGAGTTTCTTTTATGCATTATTTTACCGGCACAGCCTCTCTTTCTTTGGGTTTTGCAACTGCAAAATTGCGAGTTTTCTGGTTTTTGATTAATTGTTTTGTGTTTATCACTTCTTCCATAGTAGTTGGAGTAAAATCTA